AGCCCATGTCTGACTCCCACAGTTTCTGTTTTCTCCTTGCCATTTTTCATCGCCCACTCGCTCTCAGTCTCCCCGCACTGTTGCCGTTTTTCTCTCTCCTGAGGGAAGTTCACCCTCGTGAATGCTGGCACAGAGCGCGCGCCGTGAATCAGAGTTGACATCATATAAAACAACAGCGCAACTCATTCTCAAGTTGTGAACACTGACAGTAAATTTCCTTTTTGCTGCCGTGGCGGTGAAAAGAAAAAAAACCCGCTTGATTGCAGCGGAGGTGGTTTTGTTTTTGTGACTGGAGTTTGAAATGTGATATAGTCATTAGTGTTTTGGATGATCTGCACAGTCTCTCCGGCCCTCGAAAAACACATTGTGCAACACTTGGACTTCAATGAGAAAAGAAAAACTCGTGTTTGTCCTCTTTCTTTAAAAGAAAAACAAACTTGCCTCCAAGAACTTGTTTACCTCCAACTCACCACAGAGTGTGTGGTAAGAGGAACCCCCCGCTGCTTCCTCCATGCTTCTCAACAACCTTAGAAACCCTTTTTTCTCCCTAATGCAAACAAGTTGTTTTGTTTTTTTGTCCACTGCTGTTCAAACAGGTGTCCAATTTCATTTCTCACGAGGGCACCTCGGCCTCTTTTCTTTTCTTTTTGTCTCTGTATGCCTCCACGTCACAAAAACAAAGCCTCCTATCATCCTCACTGTTGCGGCGGTCTTGCATAATACCTTATAGGGACACTGAGTGGAAGATCAAAGAATACCTTAAAGAAAAAAGAAAACCTTAGAAATCAGGCCTGACGTTGTTCCTGGAGTGATGGACTGGCTTAAATCTCTTTCTCTGTCTGCTGCCTTGTTGAAACTGATTCCTCCTCATCCTGACAGCTAGTTTTCCACACGTGGAACAAGCATAGGTCTAGAGTAAAACATAAAAAATCATTGAATACCTACACTGAAAAAGGTTTTTACTTCAAGACTGTGAACTCTATGCCTGATCTTGCTGAGAATTTCCAAAGCTTTACAGTCTATCTTCTCAGTTATTAACACTGTCATTTCATGTCATTGTATCTTGTTCGATTTGGAAGGACAGAACGGGAATAAAAACAAGTCGTGAAACTGGGGAGAAATATAAGACGGGAGCTCAAAAATGCACTGGAGAAGAAAAAGTAGGAGAAAAGAAAAAGGAGTGGGAGGTACAGAGAACAGGAGAGGTATGCTCCGCTGGAGGACTGGGAGAGGAAAACCGCAGGAAGGAGTGAGAGGGAGGGAAGTAAAGCGAGCGCACGAGAGAGAGAGACAGGGGAGGAAAAATAAAAAAATAAGAGAGAGAGGGAGAGGCCACATCGGGGCACCGTGGAAGCAAATGTTTCCTGTAAGAGGAGGACAAACTCTCATGTGTGGGTGTGTTACACCTGAGGGGAGGGGATAAACTGTGTGAGCATATGTGTGTGTGTCTGCTTTGCTTCATATATAATAGCTTCAAAAAAATCGAACTGTCAAAGTGGGATTTGGATGAGTCTAATAACGATTTCTCGTGCCGAGAATACACACAGCATCAGCAATCCGGTCTGAGTGTAAACCAGTATGTGTTTCCATGCAAAAAAAGTGTAAGCAATGCACTTTGTGTGTATGTGTGTGCGTGTTTGTCAGCTTGCATCCCTTGTAAGAATTATGGGGTTCTGACAGGCATATCTAACCACTGTGCGAGGACGCTCCTGACTTATGAGGTGTTTTGGATTTCAAACAAATGGGTTTAATGCAGGTTGGTTTTAAACATAACTTTGTTGGTTGAAGGTTTGAGGTAGAGTGGTGCCATCTCTCAGTGAGGGACAGTATGGAAAGACCATCTCTGAGTGAAAAATGCTGCTCCTTACATGTATTTACAGTATGTACTATACTGTATAGGACAGTGAGTGCATGCACTAGTGCACAAGTATGTACATATGCTTGACTGTAAGTCTGCAAATAGTCAAACTATGTGTTTTTGTAGGCAGTGGAGGATCCATAAGTGGATCTGGGCGTGCTGCCCAAACGCAGGTCACTGAGGGAAAAAAAGGGGGTGGACCCGTTGGGAGGTTGGGGGCTCATGTGTGGTTGTGAGCCATACACATGTCTACTGGTGTGACATATGGTCCTGAGTGTGCGTGCGGTTACAGTACCTCCAAATAGCTGCGTGCGTGTGAGAGAGAGAAGTCAACAAAGTTGCTGTGGAATGTGAAACTTAGTGTGGTGAGGTAGCTGGCAAGCCGACAGGAGGACCTAAACACTGACTTCATTGTGGTTTAGCCTCTGCCTTATATTATGTCGGGGGATTGTGTCGGTGATTGTGGAAGAATTTGCGGTGACAGCAAGTTTAGAAGTTAAGGAGGTGTACATGTAGCTGGAAAGTTTAATCCAGCCGGTGAAAGTAAATTAAGAATGCTCTTGCTGCCAGCTATCATTAAAGAGTCATATGGTGAGATACACTGTGGAGCTTTTGCAGTTGTGTCACAAAATGCACTTACAACCCACGTCTGGCGCCAGTTAGGAGTTCCACTGCAGGCAAACACTGACTAAATGCTGTTTAAATACTGTTGTCTTTGAAACGGATACCTGCAAACATTTCTGCACTGTGGGTGTAAGATTTTAAGTGAACTCTGCAAAGTAGAAATGTTTTCAAACTGTCTTTTTTGTAGGATGGGGAAATATTTTTATTTTACCATTGTCTTGTCTGTATGCTAGGTTTGCAATTAAACGCAAGGGCTAACAGTTAAGCCTGGTTCGGTCTTTTTTTTTTTTTTTTCTAAGTAAACTTGCAATTAGCAACATATATATCAAAGTTTTGAATGAGGGAAACACCTGGCAACTTGATGCACTATGGAAAGAAGGCAAGCTGGTGGAGGCTGGTGTGTTGCTACGAGCAATGTTGCTGGTAAACCTTGGATCCAACCATCCATGTAGATGTTATGTTGACACGTACCACCTACTTAACCATTACAGGCCATGTACACACTTTCATGGAAATGGTATTCCCTGATGACTGTGGCCTCTTTCAGCAGGATAATGCTGGAGCAAAGATAGTTCAGGAATGATTTTAGGAGCACAACAATGAGTCTAAGGTTTTGACTTGGCCTCCAAATTCCCCAGATCTCAATTAAATCAAGCATCATTGGGATGTGCTGGACGAACAAGTCTGAGCCGCGGAGGCCCCACCTTGCAATTTACAGGACTTAAAGTATATGTTGCTAACATCTTGGTGTCACATACCACAGCACACCTTCAGATGTCTAGTGGAGTCCATGACTCGATGTTTGGAGCAAAAGGGGACCAGCACAATATTAGGCAGGTGGTCATAATGCTATGACCGTTTAGTGTATATCTATGTTATAGTTATGTATGTATAACATAGAGTAGAACTCATGAAAGAATAAAGTTACGCTGAAACCAAACACACCATTGTTTTTCTTGTGACATTACCAAAAAGTTTGATGTGTCACATGGCCCTCTTCCTATTGAAAAAACAAAAGTTGTATCCAAGATGGCCGACTTCTAAATGGCCACCATGGTCACCACCCATCTTGAGGAGTTTGCCCCCTCACATATACTAATGTGCCACAAACAGGACTTTAATATCACCAACCATTCCCATGTTATTACGGTGTATCCATAAAAATGGCCCACCCTGTATATAATACCAAATGTAATTCAACATTAGATGAGCTTTTTTTGACATCGCGTAGACACTCCCACTGACACGGAGTGAATAACAGCTGTGGAATTCTCAGGTGCAAAAATGTCGTGTATTGCGTTGACTTTCCCGGCAGCTGTCAAGCATTTCACTGCGGGTTTGGTCCAAGAGTTTCCCCTCTTTGGTTTTCTGCTGGGAGATTTTTTTTTCTTTGCAGCACATACCTGGGTCTTGAGTCATTTAGTCTAACAAGAACCCATGAGTTTAGTCATTGGCTGGGATAACTTTTGTCGCATGCTTCACCCAGAGTATCATACCATCAGAAGTGGAAAACTACTGAAAAATCTAGTTTAGGCCCTCGAGTGTTCACCACAGAAATGCAGAGGATCAAAGTAACAGGCCCACATCATTATGATTTTCCCCCAGGAACAACTACAACTAAAATTGCCAACAAAGGACTAAGCCCTGCTATCTTCAAATTGCCTTATTACAGAATACATGACCTAGAACAACTAACATTTGTAGGTAGTAAGTTAATTAACAAGTATTCACAATTTAGTGAAGTGTCATCTAGACTAACTGTTACTATTACTTCAGTTTGTGGGATATTAAGTAGCTTTTTGTAACAGTTTTGTGACTATCATTTCAGAATTTATTTGAGATTATTGCAGAATTATTTCTCATTGCATCTGGAAGTCTAAATGTAGATGTTTTACTATCTTCTTGTGTTTGTGTTGAAAAAGAGGAGAGGAATATTGTTATCCAAATTCTAAGAGGGGAATGATAGCTGATGATACACCAGCAGATATCCCATGAAGAAAGATGTGTAACTCTGTACTATTTGTGTGAATGTTGAATCTCGAGAGCCTAAGAACCTGGATCAAGAAAAACGATCTTTAGTCATACAACTCACTTTAGTGAGTGAATTAATTGAATTAATCGTATCTTTTAACTCATCTGTAGCTGTAAGATGTGCAAAATGTTTTTTTTGTTTAATAACCTGTTATATAGTCGTCCGTTAGCATGGTGGTGTGAAAGAAATGTCACCCTGTGTGTAAATGAGATTGTTTTGATTTGTGGGTCCCAGGTATTTCTTTCCCAGAGGAGTCAGAGTCATTTCAGAGTGTGGGGAGTTGTGATTAGCACTCACAACAGACTCAGTATCCCTGAGTGTGAGAGAGAGAAAAGGGAAAAGAAATGTACATTTTACTGTACAGATTTATTCCAGGAGGTTATTAAAAAAACAAATTAGTAAGCGAGTCCTAATAATAAATTTGCTTTCATTGCTCTTTACTGAAATAAAGACACTTTGTTTGTTAACTTGTTTTTCTGTTGCTAGGTGGGCAACAATAATCAGCGGCCATGTTGTCTGTGGATGAGCCACTGGACTTGAAGCTTCCCTCAGGTCGCACAGACGGTCCAGGTATACTGGGAAAGAGGAGCTGCCCGTCCTCTATTTGTGCCCACATCAGCATCAAACGACTGCGGCTACAGTGCACAACTTTTCCATCACCTCCCTCTTCTCCAGGTACGAGTTAACCTGGTAAACATCTGGCAGTTTTAGCATCACCGAAATAAATTCTCCATCATTTCTACTCTCCTAAATACACACATGACATGACTTTGATATTGTCATGGCGCAGTAATTAAGTTTATCACTGTGGTAATGCAATAGCGTAATAGGTTGATTCTCTGTCCTCACTTTCCTGGTAACCTATTATTGCAAACCCAGTGAACAGTAGATCATTTGTGTCCTCGAGAAGATTGTCCCCATTTTTGTCGGTGCAGCTCATAACAAGAGGAGTGTGACACTGATATGAAGTGACCTAAAAAAATACAGCACCTCTGTGACATTCACAAACACAATGGACTTTGTGTCTTCATTCTTGTGTCAGCTTTTGTGCTCAGCATTACTGCGTTGTGTGCTTCCGTCTCTGTTTAACACAGAAACACTGCTGTTGCTATTGGTTAAAGGACCCATGGGCAGAAAATAGAAACTGAGATTACAACAAATTCAGTTGGTTGATTTGCAAATATAGTCTCAGGAAGGTTTCTGGAGAGCTCGGCAGGTAGGACAGGCTGAGAGTAGAGGGTGCAGGCAGAGGGCTGAAGCTGGGGTGAGTGGTGAACCTAGGACAGAGAGAAGAGATTTTGAGCTTCACACAAGGAAAAACTCAAGTCCATATAAATAATAATAAATAGTCCATATATCACCATATAAAGAGGACCTAATCCATCATTCACAATGGATGGCGTGACTGAACTAATGAACAATGCCAGGGTCATCCCTTCCATGTTTATGGTAGCTCTTGTTATTAAAAGTCTCATTCACCCAATCATGCACACATCCATAGCCAAGTGCCTTGTCTAACATTCGCACATACACTCAGACTCTGAAGGATGGATTGGGGGAGTTTCAGTATCCTGCCCAATGATGACTTCACACGCAGTCTGGGGTAGCCTGGGAATTGATCCACCAACCTTCAAACTGATAAATGGCGTGCTTTAACTACTGATGACAAACAAAGGGCTAGTAGCTATTTTGTGTCCAGTATGGATGAAGCACCATGCACTTACATTAATGAGTTCTGTGTGATTGTTTCAGATAGCTGCGATAATAACAAAATGAAATGGCCTGGGAGTCGCTTTGTGCAATTTTTTCTTCTTGTTTTGAAAAGTGCCTCATGATTCATTTATTACTTTTATTGTGATTGTTATAAAATCTAAGAAGAAGAAAGAACAAAATAAGTCAGAGGATTTTAGAAATTTTAGAAATGTTCTACATGCCTCAATGAAATTGAAAAGGTATAGATATATTGAAAATATTTTGTAAAATATTTAAAAAGAGTGAGCAGGGGTGTTGCTAAGACCGTGGCATTACCTGCAAACAATAACGCGTTGGTAAAATTACAGGGACATTTTGTGAAATGAACCTCAGCAAAGCAAGAAATCAATGAATGAATCACGATACTGTGATGGATGTAATAAGGATCCTGCTTTATCTCTAATCTCTAATCTAGATTCCCTGTCTTCCTCTCAAGAACGACCTGGGTCCTGCTTCACCCCTCCAGCCATGGACCTCAGCCTGTCCCCCTCCTTGCGCCATGCCTCTTCTCTCTCCCCATCCCCTTCCTCGCCATCCTCCCTCTCTCCATCCTCTCCCATGGAGTCCCCTCAGAGCAGCAGCAGCCCTCAGCCACACCTCTTCTCTCGGGTGAGTCCACGTGTTTGCTGGAGTGCACTAATGCTACCGCTCCTTGCGTTGATGCACTTTGCAAGTAGTGTGCAAACACGAAAGTTGTGTTTTGCTTGTTTCATCAGTTGACTTGCTAATGACTTCAATCTCTTGTGACATTTCAGAGAGGATATGGGGATTAAAACGATTTGAATTGAGTGGCTGGGTGCAGTATACTTAGCATGCAAAGCATCAGACCGAATCAATACCTTGTATTAAGATTGCATCTGGCCCATTTTTATAACAGCAATTTGTGAGCAGTGTATCAAGCTTGAAAAATGATTGTTGTCAAAAACTGCTTGTCAATTTGCGAGTCTAGATAATGCTTTCAAGGATTGTGTGGATAGCATTTTAGTTTGTTTAAAAATTAATGGGAGAAAAAAATGACATCTTCTATGTTGCACATTTGTATTGCCAAACCTCCGCTTCAAATTTTGTTGACCTTTTTGATCTTGATTTGAGATATCAAAAAATCCTGCTCTTCACATACAAGGTCTAAAATAATCAGGCCCCATCTTATCTCAATGACCTTGTAGTATCACCGTATTAGAGCACTTCACTCTCGCACTGCAGGCTTACTTGTTGTTCCTAGATTATTTAAAAGTAGAATGGGAGGCAGAGCCTTCAGTTTTCAGGCCCCTCTTCTATGGCACCAGCTTCCAGTTTGGCTTTGGGAAACATACACTATCTCTACTTTTAAGATTAAGCTTAAAACTGTCCTTAGCATATAGTTAGGGCTGGATCAGGTGAACCTGAATCCTCCCTTGGTTATGCTGCAATAGGTGTAGACTGCTGGGGGATTTGCATGATGCACTGAGTATTTCTTCTTCAGCCACCTTTCTCACTAGTTCATAGACCTCTCTGCATTCAATCACACTTGTTATTAATCTCTGGCTCCCTTTCACATTATGTCTTTTGTCCTGTGTTATTTTGCTCACTCCAACCAGTCGCAGCAGATGGTCGCTCCTCCCTGAGCCTGGTTCTGCTGAAGGTTTCTTCCTGTTAAAAGGGAGATTTTCCTTTCCACTGTTGACAAAATGCTTACTCATAGAGGGTCATGTGATTGTTTAAGATCTCAGATAAGCAGAAGTGAGGCCTAGGAAATGGTAATCCTTTCCCTGTGTCAGCACACTGGTCGGATTAAAATGCACATGCCCCTGAATTGATGTCTTAAAAGTATCAAAATGGATGAGATCACCAACTGTGAAGCTGTTGTGAATGTGAATATAATTTTTTTTGTACAGAGATGTAGTTGTTACAGCTGGATTTTGGCATTTTAAAATGGGAGCGGAACCCAAGAGGACATTAATAGAACAGCGGTTTTTGGGACTACTAGCACCTGTACAGCTCACAAATGAATATTTTACAAGCTAACTGGCTGCTGGCTGTAGTGTTACCTTTACAGTACACATGTGA